AAACAATATTAAAGGTAGCAGCAATTTTAATTGAATAGCTTAGAATATATAAAATCGTATACACTTAAAATATTGACAATATAATTTAGTTAAAATAAGGGATAATTTGATTACAATAATAGCGCATAAGCAAAAAAATAACCGCGTGGGGTACGGAGTGCAGGGTCCTTGGACCCCTGCCACCTCACGTACAAGCTTGCCAAGTGAAAATTCCCCCTTACATGCCATATGTCAATGCTATCTCCTCCCATTTTTGATTCATCACACTTCTACCTCTGCCCTCATCGCCACCATTACTGCGCATGCTCCACCACTCTTTTAGGTGGTCACACCACTCTTTGGGGGTCATCACTGATTAAGGCTCTCCTCTTCCTCAATGTCCTTTAATTCACCTTTGGGTTACGAATGTGCACCAAGCTAGTATAATGTAAGCCAAAACTAACATAATTTATATACATATATTTAAGCATCAAAGCATAAATCTCATATAATTAGCATTTTCCTGGGACCCAACCAGATTTTCCTTTCTTTCTGTTAAGTTTTGGTAACTGTTATCTCTTGCTTTTTCCTGCCTTGAACATCTGCAGGAAAGGGGGGGTGGAACCTGTTGCTTTTTGATGTGAGGCAAGGCGATTTGGTTTTGAGAAAACGGCACGGCGACTTAAATTTTCTAGGGTCACTCGGGCTAAGAACACACGCAGGCACCAGTATGGTGGACGGTCTAAAGGCTTTTATTGTTTCGTCTCATCGGGTTTTATACTTGGGAAGGTTTCTTTTCTATGTCAGGGGTCTTACTTTACTGTAATTGGTTAATAAGGAGTCGAAAGTTACTAATGTTAGGGGGGACTACATTTTTGGGTGATCTCTTATCACTAGGCGTTAGTGGGAGAGGAATTCTATTGCTTTTTGTGACATTGCGAGATTTTCCGAGCGCCTAACCCTATCTACTACAGGAACCCCTCCTCTCCCTTTCTTTCTTGGCATTACACCTTTTAACGGTTTTATTATTTCCAAATATTAATTACTGTATCAATATTGATTACTGTTTCAATTTTGTCAGCACAAATCATACCTATTTACCACACCCACTTGCACAGAATAACTACACATCTTCTGTTACCTCTATTGGCACCTGCAGGTGTGTTAGAAGCCTTTGAGTTCAAATCAGGGAGAGGAATAAGCAGTTTTGATACATCAACTCACTGTTGATAGCCAAGAGCTTTTTGTGTTACATACAATTGAGAATTGAATGTCCTTTGTTGGTCATCTGTATTGTTAAGGGTATGTACAACCATGTAGGGTGTCACTGACCAGCATTCATGCTTTAGCCTAGGGTAAAAGCCCTTTGTCAACTGACACATCCAGTCACTTCTTGAACGCTTCTGGAGAGTGACTTTCCCACTTCCCTGAGCAGCCCATTCCAGTATCTGACCACCCTTTCAGTAAAGAAATTCTTCATGTCCAACCTGAACCTCCCCTGGCACAGCTTGTGGCCATTTCCTCTTCTCCTGTCCTTATCCAGAAGTTTGGTACAGACATAACCCATGGGTGTAGACCACAGGCTGCAAGGTTTCCTTGCTCACAAGACATGGGCTAGAAAGAGCACAGTACTAGTATTAGTAGTTAACTGGTCTAACAACCAGCATCTCTTCATATTATCAGCTGAGTTCAATCCTATATTTCAAAGTTGAAGGAGGCTTACTAATGCCTCTGGAGAAATCATCAGTGAAAGTGAATCCCAACCCTAAGGCAAGCCACACCTACAAGGACAGTTTACTGCAAATGTCCTTAGGTGCTGCCTACCAATCTCCAGGTGTCTCAGATTGTTGTAGATGCCCTTCACATAGTTGCTACACAGCTTTGGGTCATTACTATAATCCATGTCAGGGTCTTCAGACTCAAGCAAGACATTAGAAAAAGCCTGACATAGTATGTGTCTTCTGCTGCATGACATTCATGTATTTCCGTGGGGTTTGGAGACTGATGCTCTGACTACAAGAACATTCAGAAAATCACGGCTGACAGCACCTCCCTTCACAGCCCAGTGCAATCCTGCAGCGTGGAGCACTGCAGGGGCTCATGACCCCTATTTCAGGGCACCAGACGGAAGGCACGGCTCTACCGCAGCGGCAGCCAAGCACTGGGCTGGGGAAGGGGCACACAGTACAAAGAGGCCGGGACTGGTGTCGGCGGTGGGGCTGGGACGGCACGTTTTCCGTGGCGAAAGCCTCCTGGTAACCATCCGCCCCGGAGCGGCGACCTACTTGACACTCGGCTGCCCGTGGTCTCCCTTCAACTTGGCGGCTGGCCGCACTTTCGGCTCAGCCATGCAGTGCCGATGTCCCCCCCCCATCGTGGGGGCGGTCGCCGTTCCATTCTTCTCTTTCGAGGGGTCGGCTGCAGAGCGGGACTGCAGAGAGAAGGGCGGTCAGCGGGACGGCGAGCGGGGTCTGCGCTGCACCGCCGCAAGCCCGGGAACGGGGCAGCCGGGGCAGCGCCGGCGGGCTGGAGGAACGGAGCCGGGGCAAGACCTCTTCACGGCCTCGGAGCCGAAGGGCCGTAGATGCGAAGCTGAGGGGCTTCGCGGCTGCTTCTCTTCGCAGTAGAGGGCTGAAGCGGCTGCTTCTCTTCGCACTAGAGGTCTGAAGGAGGGCAGAGTGAGGGAACCAACGGGCTGTCCCAGAGAAGGAAAGAGAAACACCCACAGCGCTCCCCGCCAAGCAAAGACTGGACTGCCCCCGGGCTGTACCCCGCACTGCCCGCCAGGCTGAAGGGAAGGAGCGAGCAGGACACGAAGGGCGGCGCAGGTGCCTCCCCAGGAGCCATGGCAACAGCCCGCTCCCGCTTCGCTCCCCCGCCCGCGCCGCGCCGAGCCGAGCCGGCCCCACCGCGCACGTACCGAGGTGAGCCCGCCGGGCAGGAGAGCGCAGCGGCACGGGCCGCGCTGCCGGCACCGCTCGCTACAAGCGCCCAGACGCCGCCTCTGGTTGGCCGCCCATGGCCGGCCGCGCCTCCGCAACTCGCGCCCTGCTCACGACCCCATGGCTTCTGCACCAGGGAATAAAGCCTTACTGGAAAACACGAACATTTTCCTCTTTATATACACATGACTGCTCGTTCGGAGTTCCTTTTAAACCTGTTTAATCTTTCAAAGTGTTTTGTTGCAACTCTCTGCATGCGACCAGGTGACTCGATTGAACGTTCCCATGCCTTCCCAGTACTAAGATATTAACAAACTGGCCTCCACCTGCGGTTTGAAAACCTGCCCACACAGCACAATTCCAATAGATCTTATGGGGAATCCTGAACCCTTCTTTCGTGGATTATTACCAGACTAAACAAATTTAAAATGGACGTTTAAAGAGAGACAATGCTTGTTGCCATCATCTTCCTGCCAGGAGAGCCAGGAAGAACACTGTGCATGTGTGCTGGGTAACTTACTAAAACCTGCCAAATGCAAGCCAACATGCAGGTCTGCACTTGCCTGTGAAGTATACAGGTACGGGCTCATCTTCACTGCCACGATCACAGGGGCAGCCACCTTGATTTGTTTTGGGTTCTGCCGCTACAGAAGTAGGAAATGGCCATTTGCTCAGAGGAAGCTGTGACAAGCACAAAAGCTTTACAATTATGCTAAGATAATGCTTTAAAAGACATACACTCCTTTCCATCATCTTCATTTCATGTCACAATGGGGTTTACTGAAATATTATCAAGTCTAGTACAACCATCTCAAAACAGGAGTGGCATATGTAAACATTAAGTGAAGCTTTGAGATTGGTTTCTAAAGCAAAACATCACCGTAGTTCTAGACTGAGCATAACTGTAGCTCATCAAGTGATAAGTCTTCTGGAGGAGACAAGGTAAGAAAAACACTGTTAAAAGGGCAGAAAACAGGATCCAGCTTTGAGGCGGTGGCTGGCTCTCCAGCGCTGTCCCAAGATATGAGGGATTGCAATTCATGCACTTTATATTCATCACTGTGCACAAGTGCAATGCAACTTCTAGAAGTTTTCTGACCATGGTTTTCCAAGTCAGTCTTGTACTGCAGACAGTGTTTTAACATAGGTCAGGAGGAACTCCTTTAGGAGTAACAAAACAAACCACAGAAGTTGTATAACAATCTGATAACAAGACAAGCAGAATGGCGCAAGGACATCCCTAACTGCATTCCTGGTAAATCTCTCCCAGTTAAATCATTCCTTTATCACTCTGTTCTGTCCTTCAATTTCACTAACATCAAGTCTATTCTTATTATGGTATTCAAGAACGACTGAACACCAGAAACAAGAAAACAGTACAACAAAACAATACTGCCATGATACATGGGATGGTGAAAGATGTATTTGTTCTTGTTAACCACTGAATTAATTTCTTAAATTTCAGGGAAATATTAATGTGCTACAGACAAGAAGAGGGGGGCACAAGAAGCCTGTGAACAGATGTAAGCACAACTACCTCTGAAGATGTATTTTATTATCGCATTGACAGGTTTTCATTAAACATATGGATTTGTTTTCTTTGCAGTATTAAGTCCTCAACATCCATAATTCTTTCTTAAAGGCACTCTCTTTCACTTTCCAGTCAAGAAGTCTCAATTTACTGTTCATTTCAGCAACTTGTCAAGTTCAAGACTACTTTCATAGTTTAGCATTCTAAACCTGAACTTCTTCCCTAGGTAATACATGGAGGTACGGTTGGCTACAGTACATCTGCAGCTGTAATGGTATTATTTAAAAAATGAGTCAAGTACAGGATAACATATCTTGAAAAGATGAAGTTTAGCAGAGTGCTAGGATGCTCACTGATTTATTACTTCTAGACTTCAAATATTTCATTTGCAGTTATTAATATAAAAAGTACAAGAAGTTTTATTTTAAGTAGTTTGAGTTATGATTCTGAGTCTTCCCAGGAAAAAGTGTTTTCATTTTTCTTCCCTTCCCTATTTCTCATTGTTAAATCTGTGTATTTTTTCTAAAAAAAATAGTTCAATACAAATGTAAAATGGTAACATATATTTGCTCTGGTGCATTAAGTATAGAAATCATATTTGTATGCTGAGACATAATATAAAAACTGTATATTTCTATTATCTAACAAAATATGCAAAACACAGGACTTGATGTTTTTTAATCCCCATAATAAAGTGGTTTTTTCATTCCAAGAGTCTTCAAGCAATCTTTGAAAGAAAGAAAAGTAGTGCGCTGTTGATTGTTTGCATTCCAATATAAACTACTTCTATTTCCCACTACTAACAAGAAATTAAAATACCGATGTTCCACACTTTGGAGAAAGTATGGAATACATCTGTGCTCATCTGCAAGTTTCAAGACTTCTGTTTAATAAACACCAAGTATAGTATATAAGATTTCAACTATTTTCACATTTACAGCAAGTACTCAAGTCCTTCTTGTTTCTTTATAAAAGCATCTCAATCCAATTAACAAAGATAGTATACTTACAAAAATTCAAATATATAGTACATTTGTTTCTGTACATGTATGTGCAAGATCTCCCCGCAAAAATACAAATATGGATTCAATTAGCTTGACCATTTACATCTCCTTTGGCAAATACAAATTTGTATCACATGATGTAAGTACCATCTTTGTAGTATTTCATGGATTCTAGCTGCTGCGTCATTGCAAGGACATCCTGAAATCCTGCACTGAGTCCAGACATGTGTTGAAAATAAGCTTCTTTCTCCACTTGGACAGTTAAGTTGTTTACACCAGCATCTTTCAGAATTGCTGTGACCTGAACAGAATGGTACAGTTAGCATTAGTATTGCACTTCACATGTATCTCACAGTAACTTGCGGTACACTGGCTCTGCAATGCAGAAAATAAACCCCCATGTATCACTGTGAAGAATTCAATTCTTTGGAAAGCAAAGACTAGCTTTAGAGGGTATGGCTTTGCAACTTCTGCGCACTTTTTCCTTAAAAAGATATATATTTCCTATGCACAACACTGAGGAGACTCTCAGTGTTGTGCATACGAAATATATATCTTTTTAAGGAAAAGAAAAACCCATGGCAGATACGTAGTGGTATCCAGCTTTAGACATGCGATTAGCATACAGGTATCTCTACTGTTTATTCCCTATTTTGCAGGCTTGTTTTAACACCTCCCCTTCTTTTCTCAGAGCAGATATAGTGCCACTGTCAGTCAGTGTTTTGGCAGATGTTCTAGCAAATAACTCTTTACATGACTAATTTCAAGCTAGCAGGAAAGGGGGCAGTACAGCATTAGAGACCAGCTCTGAGACAAAAAATGGAGAGCTTCAAGAAAAATTCTACATGTCAGACTGAAACTTCAGTCTGTGATCAAAAGGGAGAGGCTGAGTAGGAAATTAAGGAATTAAGAGTCTCAAGACCTTGCACTGTACCTGCTGTACAATTCTCTGTTCCATCACATCTGATACCACTTGCACATGTATTGTGCCTGCCATAACAGTTGCAGAGTGACACCAAAAATGAGGATCTCTGTAGGATATAACTCCCTCTATTTTTTGAATCTGCAAAGAAATTTCATTAGCAAAAATTAAGTAATTTTAACCTTGTACATGTCTATTGGTGGATAATATTTCACAAGGAAACAAAACTGTAGCACAGCAGCTTTCCAACTATGCTATATTCAGAAATATCTTGTATTGAAAGGTTACATTGCTACTTCTGTAAAATTCTAGAAGGTAAAAGTCAAATCAAAACTCCAGAAGAGCAATGCTAAATAGGATGAGGAAAAAAATCCCTTGATTTATGAACAGATCACAGGAACACAAATGGACAGGCTAATCAGAATACTGGGAATACTGGTCCAGGATCTACTAGGGCACTGGTTACCTCACTGTTTAGCAGCTATATTTAGTTATCACAGCTGAACTTTATTAAGACATAACTTCTTTTCCATAATACATTAATTTTTTTGAATTGATCTTTGTTCTGGGTTGGCTGTGATGGTTTTTCAGAGCAGCTGATAGGGTGCTGTATTTTAGATTCCTGCTTAAAACCATTTTGGTAACACACCAGTGATTTGGCTACTGCTGAACTGCTCAGGCTATTTCTTTTCTATCACGCAGTTTCAAGGTTTTTTATCTTTCCCACTTTGCCCTTGCCCTGGCAGATAGGCTGGGGATGGGCAAGAAGCAGGGAGGTGACACAGCCAGGGCAGCTGTCAATGGTGTGTTACGGCACACCATGTAACACCTTGCTCAGCATTGAAAACTGGGGTAGAGGATGAAGGCAGGATTATAGCTTCCAAAATGGCTGTTGTTTGGGGACTGCTTTTTCTTTCTTTTTTCCACTGATCTTCCTTCACCTGTTATACTGCTCCCAGGGTTTTTTTGCTTATGCTCCCATCCCACTGCTGGTGGCAGTGGTAAAGGACGGGATTGAGCAAGTGGCTGTATGGATGCCTGGCTGCTGGACAGGGTCAACCTACAGCAAACACTGCTTTACTGTGATGTAATTTTTAAAATGTTTTTCTTATTATCAACTGGTCTTTGATTGTTCTCAAGAAGTACTTTCTTTCTCCCCAGTCTCTCAGAGTTACTGTCCTCCCTCATCAAAAAGGGAAACCACACTTTGCATGTCACTGTCCTTTCACTACATGAATCTCTCCCAGACAATTCCCATTTGTTCTTTTCTTTTTTCTTTATCTCACGCAGACAAGAACACATTTTGCCATCTAGTAATTGACAAGACACCATAAGAATAGTCCTCCTTGAAGCCTCTAGTTGATGGCATCCTCAAAGAACTTTTAACTCATTCTTGTACAGAGAGGAATTCTCCACACTGAGGTCCACATTACTATTCTGGGCAGGAACTTAAAATGAGGCAACAGCAAAGACTAGTGCAGCCTCAAGGCAGATGCCATACTGCATCAGACAGGAAAAGAACAGTCTAGAACGAGAAAATAATTAGAAAAAACAGCTTAAGTTTTGCCATCCCACCTACTGTGAACCAGTACATCCTTCATGATATGGATAAAGCAGAAAACTTGAAATTACAAGCTTGTGATACAATCTGTACCCTGAATGTTTGTAACAAGTTTTAAAAGGATGCAGGTTTAGGGAACTGTATATTACTTTCTTAGTGCTACAGTGTGGTACATTTACCAAACTGTTACCATGCTTGTCTGAAATTATGGGCTAGCCATAAAACCAAAAAACAGTGGAGGTCTTTTTTGCTGCAAACCAACTTTCATAGTTAGAACTAGTCATCCTGTCACCTCTCTGAAAAATAGATTTTAAACAACTTGAGACATGAAGCTGTCTAAGACAAGAGAAGCTGACTGATCTGCTTGATTTTAATAATCATTAAAAACAGTTACAGCCTTGTATGTTTGTATACAAAACCATTTATAATTGTACCTTTTCTAAAGCAGCATGCAGATCTTTCTCCTGTTCTGGAGGTATCCTCAATAAAAGCACTTGACAGGCATCTTTCAATAGAGGGATAACACTAAGAAAAATCAATGTAGCAATAAAGAGAGAGCAGAGCGGATCAGCTATGAGCCATCCAAATTGCTGAATAAATATTGTGGATACGATAACACCAACACTGCCAAGAGTGTCTGCTAACACATGCAGAAACACACCTAAAACCGAAACAAACAGAGTGATTAACAGATCTGTCTAAAATGTATGTATATATTCAATAGCAGAAACTTGGTAAGGCTTACTAAGTATCCTCAAGCTAAACAGAGTAGACTCTTTGCCTAACCTGGGACAAAATACACGAAATATTTAGCTCTTCTAATGTTTAATTGCAAATTATTGTAAAAAATGATTTTTAATCTATGGGCCAATGGTGTGGGCAGGCAGCCACAGACTAAAGTATATGTGAATACATGGGATTTGTACAATACAGCATAATCATTTACCTCTTTATATAAGGACTCATTGATCCCTAACAGAGACTCAGAAGATCAGTGTACATTGCTTGCTAATGTGGACATACATGAATATACTGGCTGTTTTTTGTATACCAATTCTACTCCAATTTTACAAGAGAATTGTTTTTGTGCTCCTGCTATGAATCTTACGCTTTCTACTGCTTTAACTGAGAGCTCATTCTCAATGTACACTCAATGGGCATAGAAAAATACTCTTCAACCACTGGTAAGATTAGTACTAGTTAGGCGTCAGGATTTTAAAGAATATTGAAAGATGACTATATGCAGACTTAAAAAAATTACAGACATGATGAATATGAACAACCAGGATAATCTAGTTAAGACATAAAATAACATATGAAACATGAGACTGCTCAACATATTCTGACAAGCTTACACAGAAAACACCATTTTTAAAGAGTTTTTTTATAAGCTAGACAGTAAATAACTATTTTCTAACGACTATTGGTAAATAACTATTTTCTAACTACTAGGGAAAAAATTCTATGCTGAACTTCCACATACAGTGCCCATCTCAGTTAGCTTCATGATTTCATATTTCAAAGTTTTTCTTCACCACTTTATTTTCTGAATCCCAATAATATAAAACAAATGCTATGTTTTATATGCTACAATGCTACAAATCACAAAATAAAAACATATGCTATGCTGGTCTGTATTCACCCTCCTGCTTCTTATCCCCTTCCCAATATTTTTACAAACAGCTGTCACATGATTCCTAGAAACATGGTAATATCTTTATAGATAGAGACATTGTATCTTCATTTCCAGTTTGAACTTAGAAACAAGGACTTAAAACTCTTTGAGTATGGTTTACAGTGACCTTTTTTTTAATGTTAGTGAGTACTATGCATTACTGCTTTTTATTGTTCCTTAGGTATTACATACATATGCACAGAAATATCTCACGTTTCTTCAAGTTAAATTCATAAATGGTTTAAGCAATTCCTATATATGCATTTAATGACTGTCAGATCACTCCTCAAAAGTGTTTTTAGATTGAGGCATAATACTGCATAGGTCTGATCCTGAAAATCTTCAGTCTCCTACAAATCACGTACATGCCTTACGATTCAACAGTCTGTACTTGCCTCTCATGTTGGTGTTCATGCCTCCTCCAGAAGACCCATGGGCATGTCCATGGCTGTGGCCATGGTCACTGTGGGAATGGCCGTGCCCATGGCTGTGGCTGTGGCCATGGTGAGAATGGCTGTGATCATGTGTGGGACAGCCTCCCCGAGAAGCGCCGTGCGAGTGCGCGTGGCTGAAGGCGCAGATACCAACAAGGTTTACAATCAGCCCTCCAACAGACACTGGCTGTGAGAAGGAGAAAAGTCTTTAGCTCCACTGCATCCTCACAGGTATTCAAACTTATTTTCTACAACACGGTAACCAAAATCACCATGCACTTAATTAAGGAAAACTGTGGAAGCCACAACTTCTCTGGGCAACCTGTTCCAGTGCCTTACCACCTTCTCAGTAAAGAATTTCCTCCTAATGTCAAATTAATTCCTAATATCTAATCTATACCTGCCCTGCTTCAGTTTGAGGCCATTTCCCCTTGTCCACTAAATGCCCTGGCAAAAAATTCCTCTCCAGCTCTCCTGAAGGCTCCCTTCAGGTAGTGGCAGGACTATCACCCTGGAGATGAAACATAAACGAACCATTAACTGCAAAACTACACTGAAACAGAAGGACAAAACTTACAGTTAGCATATTTGTATCTATATCTGGAGGATCTACCAGTCTTGCCACTGATTCCATGAAGACAAAGAAAGCAATCACCATCAGAAAGAGGCCATTTATAAATCCAGAGAGAATTTCTACACGTCCATACCTGAAAGTAAACACATATACATTTGAGAGTGAAGAATGGGTACTCTGAACAAATGTCAAAGTTATAACAGATAAAGTTATAATTCTTTCAATACAGCATTAAGATGGCTGTGGTTTTTTTCCTCAATGTCACATAATCATGTCTCAATTCCTGAGTTATTTTTTTCTGGTCAAGAGGTGGCCAGTTTCCAACTGTCCAAACTCCATTATAATAAAACAATGTAGAAGTATTCTCTTACATATACTGCCCATTCAGGATTTAAAACTGCTAAACTGCTATGCAAACATATAAAGTTAAATTATTTCAGCTGAATCTAAATCTTCATACAAACACTGGTTTTTGACATAGATTTCTGTTTGACATAAATGCCTAGCATGAGGCAATTTCTAAAGAATATTCACACTGAGAAAAGTTTTACTTGTAGAGATAAATGAAAGTTACATTTCAGACACATTTTTTTGACAGGTAAGAAGACAATAGCATGAGTACAAATGGAAGAGAAGAGACACAGCAAAAAACACACAGAAGCATGCATTACTAAAATATCCCATACATACCAAGACATTTTGAAAATGAGCAAGGAGAGTCAAGTTTCAAACAGTCCTTAAAGAACCCAAGATACATACCCATATGAAAATATGCGAGTTGCTTTCCACCTTGTCATCAGAGCTGCAAAAAGCCCCATCACTAACGCAGAACAATCAAAAAGCATGTGAAATCCATCAGAAATAAGACCAAGGCTATTGGTCCATACTCCATAAAAAAGCTCCACAAAAGTGAAAGCCTAAAACAAAACAGTTTAAATTTTTCCTTAAATATTAACTTGTGTATTAATGTTTTGGTAGATAGAAGGATATTCTTTTCATAGAACACTCAATATTTTTCAAAGGTATCGTTCTAAGTATTTCTAGACCATTTTTCCTCTCCTCCAAGGAAATACATGATGAACTCCAAGTCTATAAAGACACATTTTTTAACCCACTCTCCTTACAGACTCACACATAAAAAGCAACTCTTTACAGGAGTAAATTTTTTGTTTCAAATTTTGGACTGACATTCTGCAGACAAATTCTAATCATTTTACATTAAAAATACAAGAGCTCTGATGATACATTATTAGTGTAAAAGTAATGTCTATCAATCTGTTAATGCAAACATTTTCTTCACTAGTAAGCTGACTGTTTAAATCTTAGGTATTGGCTCTGAGAAAGGTACACAAGGAAACATTTTTAATACATACATTTACCCTGTACATTTTACTGTTATTAATCCATCTGCTCAAAGAATTTTTTCCAATCTTTCATATTCCATAACGGAATTCCTTACAGTTAACACAGATACTTCAAGTTTCTCCCCTTATTTTCCAGATCATTGCAAATGAGGTTCTACCAGTTTTGCTTACTGCATCATCTTTTCCTATTCAAGAAAAAGAGAAGCTAAAAATAAAACTAGCCTGCTCCTGCACTAATCAATCTCACAACTTCTACTTTGTTGTCCTAATCCTTATCATTTTCACTAAGGCCTTATCAGTTTCACCTGCTGGCAACATTGATGTATCTCAACCTTAACATACCATCATACAAGTATTCAGTTACTGGTATAACCCTAACACACAGAACCAGTGCCGCACTGTGACAACAAATCAGTGACCACTACTTAAGTTGCCCTGTCAAACGCCACAATCAATTATGGGAATCTTCTAAAGAATAACTCTTCTTTTTTTGTTATATATGCACTATTGTGATTGGGTTTGAAGAAAAAAAACACGCACTTACCAGATTTAGGCACAAGAAATAGAAGATCTGCCGAGAATCATACTCCTCAAGGATTTGTTTCAGTGACTCCTTAATAAACCGAGGCAATGACTGGGAGCTTTGCTGTAATGCATCACCCATGAAGTTATAGAGAGGAGTGCCTTCAGGGGAATAGCCAATAAGGGTACCCTTCTGCCCTTTCCTGGAGGGGGAGGACAGGATATTGGCAGCTGCAAGGAAAGTATTGAAGTTTTTGTTGCTGTTTCTAAGCTTCACAGCTATTTTATAATGTGTTTAATCAGCCATCAAAGTTTACATGAAATTTTCTGGCAGCAAATTGATTGCCAACTTCATCTTGAGGTTTATTATTGGATTTCAGTGCTACGTAAAATTAGATCATTGCTTCCACAACAGATCACATTCCTTTTTTTTTGTAGACAGACAATAGAAGAGCAAAAAGCTACAGGCTGCCTTATGCCAAAGAATCCATAAAAGCTTGTCCAAAAGAATTCCAAACACCTCAATTTTCTGACTGGCTTCCCAGTCACACAGACCACAGATTTACTATAGTTTAGACAAGAATACGTACATAAAACAAAGAAGACAGCACTCACTACCACCCCTCCAGAAAGAACATGCTCTGTGCTTTCATGGTGTGGTGGCTTGTTCATAGCTCGAAGCTGGTCTGTTATTGGATGCGTCCAAAAGTTTCCAAAAAGCAGAGCACTAATGAAAATAAGAAAGGATCCATATCGAGCACATGTGGAAGCTTCCATCTTCACAGAGCATATGGACTCCACGTAGAAATCCAGGATCACAACAAAGAAGATGACTGTTATGAAAGGCATGATGAGAGATGACCAAGACTCTACTTTACTCTGCAACAAAAAAAAATTTCAAACAGGACTGCCCACCAGAAGAGTGATTGTATTTATAGCATTAAATGCAGTTCACTTAAATTACATGTGTTTTCACTAATCCATAAAACATAAATACTTTTATATTTTCAATTTATCACATAAACATATAATTCCAGATATAAAAAGATACATATCTAAAATGCACTGAAGCACTTCATTTTAAATACTTTTCTGTTCATAAAAGGAATTCCATATACAAAGCCATGGTTGCAATGGCCTACTCTCCCCATGCACGCAAGCATAAAGAGCATTTTTTAAATTACAATAAATGATCTACTGCTCAGGGATAAAAGAGCACTGTATTTATAAAGTCATTAACGCTTGTGCAATGTTAGTAGATGAACCCAAGATATAGTATCTGAGCTAGAAGGATGAAACACATCATACAAACAAGGAAATTAAAGTACCACACAGATAAAAAACAAATATAGAAGAAAACATAATGGAAAATTTTCAAACAAAGCTTACTACAAAAATAAAGACAGCAACATTGGTAATTTCAAAGATATTTTAAAGGAAAGATTTAAATTACAATTCACAACCATTACAAAAAATGATTTACTTTTTTACTTATTATCTTACCTCTGTTGTCAGAGAGAGAACAATAACCCATGGGCACAACAGAAGGACGGAAACAAGGTGGGACAAAGCTTGAAGACGTTTGGCTCCACCTACATCTACAGATAGTTTTCGGGATGCCATATGAAAACCAACCTTGCAGCATAATGCCAGTACCAGAAGCAATACTCCACCCTGGAAACATAACAAGATTCCATTAGAATTTCTTAAGTACTAAAAACTTCACTCCAAACACAGTGACACTTACAAGGAGGAAATACTAATGTGTTTTCCTTAACCTGGAAACAAAAGCCAAAACTAGGATATTTCCTGTAATTTTACTCTAGCTACAAACAGCAACATAGCATACCGAGTTGTGCCTTAGCACTATTCACAACAGCCTGAGTTGAATTTTAAAACTCTCAATAATGTGAATTGGCATACACCAGCAGCAAGATGGTAGCAAACAGCTTCTGAGGAAGAAGAAAAATCACCCAAAGTTTTCCCATCTTCCATTATTAAAAGTGTGTTGAAAGCATACATAAACCCCCAAAGATTCACATCATCTTGTCCTCTAGAACCTTCAAGCCTTTTCATTCACTTACCTTTGAACACACCGTGTTTCTTCACAATATACTTTCAAAATTTTTCTTTAGATGAATTACAAGATACACAGGTTCTCATCTCCCTTAGATCACACTTGCTTTTCTGCACTATTAACCAGTCTTTCTAATATTTGATGTATTTTTATATTAATACATTTTCAGCTGCTCCAAATTTTTTTCCTGTTTTAGTCCTCAATTAAGCTACTTTAGCAAGTCTAAGCTAACACAACTCAATCAGGCAGTTCAACCCTGTACAGTCAGATTACGATATTCAGCTATTCATATCACGAAATACAATGGGATTATCTTACTGAGAAGTATCAGAATCTGTCTTCAAATACAAGTATAATGTAAAGGAAAGACTGGGGAAAGCTAAAGATGCAGAAACAAAACACAGGTACCAAAAGTGAGTAAGAAGTGGTTGGTAGGCAAAGCATTATAAACACCAAGAACACTAATGACAGAATATTTCATGATAATTTTAATGAGACTTGTTAGGCTCTGCATTACAGCAAAGTCATTATCAACTATAAAGGTTGAATATCGTATGGTTTGGCTTGCTGTACTGAAGATCCTTATACTCCAATCAGTGTGCAAAAATTACAGTGCTAGTTCAGCTCCAATATGGGGTAGGGATGTCCAACCTTTTGGTTTTGATTCAGGCTTGGATTAGCTCAGAGCTGGTGAAATTCTTACCTTCAAAACTTAGAAAAAGATTCTAAAATACATGTTATTTCATGTTATTTACCTTGTGATCTGCAACACCCAGGAAAGCAATGATTGTATACAGAACATGAGTAAGAGCACTGTCATGATGCCCCTCAGCTAAATAAAAAATTAAGGAAGAATTTCTTTAGATTTTCTTTTATTTTTTGTTTTTTAAGCAAGAACAGGCAAAGGTAGCAGAACACAGAAGGCAGAGGTAAGCAAACTGAGCTTTATGCTGTGTTGGCATGTGCAGGACAACTAGAGATCAGGCCCAGCCATCAGCATGGGTTTGTGAAAGGCAGGTTCTGACTGACCAGTCTGATCTGCTATGATGAAGTGACCTGCCTAGTGAATGAAGGAAAAGCTGTGGATGCATGGATGCCTTGGACATCATTTCCCACATGATCTTCCCAGAGAAACCAGTTGCTCCTGACTTGGGCAGGTGCACTGTTCACTGGGTAAAAAACTGCCTGGATGGCCAGGCCCAGAGAGTGGTGGTGAGTGGAGTTACATCCAGCTGGTGTTCAGCCACCAGTGCTGTTTCCCAGGGCTCAGTACTGGAGCCAGTCCTGTTTAACATCTTCACCAGTGATCTCATGGAGGGTACCCTCAATCAGTTCACAGGTGACACCAAGCTGGGTGGGAGTGCTGATCTGCTGGAGGGCAGGAAGGCTCTGCAGAGGGATCTGGGCAGGCTGGATCATGGCTGAGGCCAATGGTGTGAGGTTCAATAAGGCCCAGTGCTGGGTCCTGCCCTTGGGTCACGAAAACCCCAGGCAGCTCCACAGGCTGGGGCAGAGTGGCTAGAAGTGGCTAGAAAGCTGCCCAGTGGAAAAGGACCTGGGAGTGGCTGAACATGAGCCAGGGCATGGCCAGCAGGAGCAGGACAGTAATTGTCTCCCTGTACTGGACACGGGTGAGGACACACCTCAAATCCTGTGTTTAGTTTTGGGTCCCCAAGTACAAGAAGACACTGTGATGCTGAGGTGTGTTCAGAGAAGGGCAGCAGAGCTGGGGAGCACTTACAAGGAGCAGCTGATGGAGGTGGGGGTGTTTAGTCTGGAGAAAAGGAGGCAGCTCAGGGCAGATCTTACCATACTCTACAACTATCTGACAGCATGTTGAACCCAGATGGGGGTCAATTTTTTCTGACAGGACAGGAAGAGATAGCCTTAAGTTGCATCAGGTATTAGTATTAGTATTGAGTAGATTGTGTTAGGAAGAATTTCTTCAGACAGAATTATCAAGCATTGAAACAGGCTGCCCAAGGAAGTGGCTGAATGAACATCCTGCTGGCTTTTAAAATACATGGATGTAGCCCTTAGGATATGATTTAGTGACAGGTTTGGCAGTGCTGGGTGAACAGCTGGACTTGATCATCTTAAGGTGCCTTCCAACCAAGGCCATTCCATGACTCACTCTATATCGTGATTGTACTCACAGAAAACTTCAGTAAATTCATCAATAAGGTTCTAGAATAGACCATTTGCGTAATTCCATGTTTTCATTCTTCCTTTGGAAAGTTTACTTTCACGTTGTTTGTTTTTACTGCCCATCTATAGACATACTACCTTTTGTCAGTACACTATGATGAGATGATCAATTGAAAATTAACTTCAAAATCACTTCTAATTATAATTTAATTCAGTACACTCAATTTCACATTTTTCTGCTCCAGTACTAAGAGTCACTTGCTCTTTCACACAAGAAAGGATACGATGTTCTGCTATTTTAGCCATGAGGTCGTCATTATCAAAAAGTAGTAAGCAGATGATAGCTATGATGAAAAATGCAGCACCTCTTGTCTGTAAAATAAACCCAAACAAACAAACAATAAACAACCAAACAACAAAAAACCCCAAGTATTTCTAAACTGGTACAACAGATTACTGTAAAAAAATCTAAGAAATTGGTCCTCTCCTTCCCTGCTTCCTGATCAATGCAAGCATGCTCCAGTAAGAAAACCATTAAAGAAACTCCTATTGTTTTTGACTTTGACAATATAATTTCACACTTTTTCTGTTTTTCAAACTTACCAGATAACTCAGGACATATCACCACTGCAGCAAGCTAGATGCCGGTCTTATGAACTTTAAGTGTGATTACTTTCTTCATGGTGTCTTTCTGCCTGCCAGAATGCACGGCTACTTCAGCCTGATGATTTAATATTTCATAGCATCAATGAGCTACAAACAAGATCTACAAACTGTTGGATTTTGTCTTACGGGACCTAAAGGCTAAAGAACTATGCAAAGACTATGAGAAAGAGTAGCTCTGAAGTTCTTTTGTTGGGAAAGGACAGAGGTAGCTATGAAATCCCAGCTCCCAGAGCTTTCACCACCCAGACTTAAACCACTGCGAGTAGTACATCTTACTATTTCACCACTAATTAAACTAAAAAATCACATTTTCTATGATGTGGATCCAAAACAAGGTTTGTTCCAGGTAAAGAAGTACTTGAATTTATAGGATTTAGTATGTTTTACATTTGGTAAAAGAGATTTTTAAATACCTTTGCTGGTCCTCCACCTGAGCTTGTGAACAAGACACTAAGGAGTGACAGCACAACCACATCACTGTGCTCAAACAGTAATAATGTCCTATTAAAAAACCAAATAAATACTCTATTTACAATGAGTTTACCTCAAAACCTTGATATAAACTATTTCAGTTAAAATTTGTGACCCAACAAGCATCTATCCTATGATTACAACAGCAGGTTTAAAAATGCAAAAGAAAAAACATAAATCAATTTGCTTTCACCAGCAATAGATCTAGCTGCAGACAACTATACATGTTACAAAACAGGAACTTCCTAATTCAAGTAACAGATTATAATTATTCATTTATGGATAACTTTAAATGGTATTTTCTTCTAGCAAAACAACAAGATACCAACTTGTTCAAGATGGAGTTCTTATTCCCACTACAATACCTCCTCTAAACCAGTTTCTGCTCCCAGAGAAAAAAAGATGTCCTGTACTACTGTGTCCTGTTCATTGAGGTGCTGATGACCTAGTAGCTTATGCCACCTCAAAACTTAATTGCTGAAAATAAAAAATTCTAGCTTCCATGCTACCTCCTTCAGACAGCAAAGGCTAACAACCAAGCTGTACTGACAGCTTTCCCTGAGCAGAACATGAAAGTAATTCTTGCCCTCAAGTCTACCAAATGCTTGTGCAATCCTCTCTACAGCAATACAACATGACTGGACCCACGTATCTGGTTTGGTTTGGGAAGACTGCCAGCATCCAGAAAGACCTAAGAGTATTAACTACATTAATATAATTAATCACAGTATTATTACTCTTAGGTATGCCTTCTCCTATGTAGATGATAAAAAATCACCTTCATAAAAGATATAATTTAAGGCTTTACTTTCCTCTCTAGATTGAAAGATGCTTTCCAATACATTAACCTTAATTTTTGAAAGTCTAGTTACTCTTTCATAGTTACTCAGCCATTAGTACTAACATACAGCACAAATGGTTACCCAATTTAAACACAGAGCACACAGCCAACCAGATAAAGAAGTACTCTGCAACAAGTGCAGAAATCGATTCTAGTCACCAGTCAAAGAATACCAGCTGCTACCATGAGCCATCAAGCCATGGACTCCAAACAGGTAAATAAACAGTTGGCATTACATTAATGAAAGCAGGGAAGTGACAAAACTGCACTAAGTCACCTTGATGTATCACTCACAAGAAGTGTTTAAGCACTATCAAGAATTTCACTGGCATCTCATAAAAGAAGTAGTTCTTCTGGTAGAAGAAATTTACTAGTTCTACAGAAATTATATGTACCTCTTCCCAACCACTAAAGATTTCACACGAAAATTCATAAGGATTCAATAAGTTTTTGTACATACATCAAATGGCTAGCAGCATTGTCTGACAGACAGAAAAAAATCCCAAAGGAGCAAGACAGGGAAGGATCACAAAAGAGAACCAGTATTTACAGTAGATATGTATTTACCTCAGTGGTCCACATAGAGTAAGGCCAAAAAACCATAAGAGTGAAATGATACATCCAACAACAGCATGCTTAAAAATTTTGATCCACTGCAAAAGAAAGGTATTTCATTACAGTTTTCTCCACAGTTTCAAAATAAACACTCTATTACTAGCACTGTTTTAGTACGACAGCTGTAGAAACTGAGGGGAAAACACATGCTTTGCAAGTTCCATAATTATAAAGTATGATTATTTTCTTGGATGCTTTGCCAGGCAACTAAGATTTATGTGGCCATACTATGAACCAGAATTTTTTTATACCACAGTCCTAAATTCTGCAACATTGTCTGAGTTCTCTTCAACAAAAAAGCCTGAAAATTAGTTTAAAAAAATCAAGTCCATTTACCTCTTTTGTAATCTATTGTATACATCAGAAAAAGATAAACAGAGTAAGAACTAGATAAAATGTACAAACTGAGGCTAAGACTTTATGCCTGCAAATATTTATGCGTGTGTTATATACTTTCTTCAGGAATTAGGCTGTAATTCAGATATTCAATACTTTATTAACTTCAGATGCAAGTTTTAGAAAAAATTAATTCTGGAAATATGCTAAACAAGGGGAAGCACCTGCAACAAATATAACATCTTCAAAATCCAAAATTTGAAATTTTTTAGCAAAAGTAAAACCATATATGGACAGATTTTTCTGAACTCAAATCAAAGATGCCATTTATTACTGTTTACATTTAAAAAATTCTGCCATATGCATCTAGTCATGAAAGTAGTTGACAAAAGCAACACTTTGAGGCTATCCTTCAGATTCTGTCTACTTACTGCACACACTAGACCAAGTTTTTGTGCACACAATTACATAAATCCAAGATGCATATGAAGCAGGTGAAGAAAATTTATTTCTTACAAATCAGCACGTTCCAACCTGGCTCTACTCCAAACTCCTTGGGATACTGCAAACTCACCAAGGTCTGATGAGCAGCTAGATTAGTCCCTTGTCACATGCAGACGGGACTCTTCTGTTCTGAGTGACAAGACTGGAGCATTTTGACATCCTGGCAGTCCAGAAATTGCCTGTCTAACTGTCCAGGTCGGCTAAGTAGACTGAGCTCTGTTTGAAAATCCACTCCCTACAGCTGATGTTGGCTTGGTGATAAAGACCAGCCTTTTCACTATACTCTCAAAAAGAAGCTGACAAAAGCTAAGAATGAATGTTTCAGCCCATAAGACACTGAGTTAGTACTATACCTCTAGAACCCATAACCACATCTTCTAAGTGGAGTAATCTTTGTTCACCTTTCATTTTTGGCAAGAGCCATACTGCCAAGAATATTTACAAAGCTGCAAGTCATTCCTACATGTCAACTCACCTGACGCTTGGTTACCACTTTTCCAGACGAAAATGGTTTTTGAAACAAAACCATAAAAAAAGCAGACCTGTCAAAAGGAGAAAGTTTTGTGTATTAGTTTATTATCAGTCAGCTTTTTATTCAAACCAGATCTAAACAACTAGGTCTCTCATATCTGGCCCGGTTTACAAGACGGCTTCTTCTACATTTTATCCATCAACAGGCCACACTGATAACAGTCACTGGTTTTATTTTCCCTGCTGCATTACCATCATCAGTTACCAGTACTACAGTGATGCCAAGTGAACTTCAGTTCTGGTCAACTTCAAGTGCCAGTTCTTGAGAGAATGGCTAATGATAAGTTGACTTGTGATTTACAAAAATCAAAATAACTGATCTCAGAAGTTTTGAAGAGAAATAACACTCTGATTTTTATTAGCAAGATAGGTATACAAAAAGGCTTACTCATATATAGAATGCTGAATACACAGTCCTGTAGGAATAAAAGATACAGGACACAACTTCTTCAAGTGGGATCAAAAGTGATGGGCAAAAAAAACTATGGTGCTTGGGAACATGCAAGAAAGAAGTCCATAAATATACTTCAATATGAAATAAAAAGAAAAAACGAAATTCCAAATGTTTCTACTCTGTCAAGTTTATTACATAAATGATCTTCCATATCTCATCAGATAAACATGAAGCAGAATTTTGTCTGCAAAGATTGTTTCGGTGTATTTGCTATCAGTTTTCACACCTCAGCCCTCAATCTGGAAAAAACGGCAGCTGAATCCCACAACAACTTCAGGAATACAAACTATAAGGAAGAAAGCTGATCTTCCACACTCTTGTTAACAAAATTTGGACATGCCTGAGTGTCCTAGTTTCAGCTTGGACTGAGATAAACTTTTCTCAGTAGCTACTACTCCAGTGCTACTGCTAGTGCAGTGCTGATTCAGTGTGAGTACAATGTTGATAACACAGTTTTGGCTGCTCCTTAGTGATGCTTATCCAAAGTCAAGGACTTTTCGGTTTCCCATGCTCTGGCAGCAAGCAGGTGCAGCAAGCTAGGAGGCAGCATGACTAGGAGACCTGGCTTGAACAGGCCAAAGGGATGTTCCATGCCATAAATACCATTTACTCGTACAAAAACTGGAGGAACTATGCACATGGGGTCTGATTGTGGTTTGGGGTTGGGCCAGGTATCACCATTGTGTGTTGAGCAGATGCACACTGTGCATCATTTCTTTTTATTACTATATTTTGCTTATTAACTTATTAATAATTTATTAGCTTATTAATTTCAATTATTAAACTCTCCTTATTGCAACTTGCGAGTTTTACTTTTTGCTTTCTTCCTTACTGTCCTCCCCAGCCCCCTGGGGTGGGGGAAGGTGAGAGTACATTTGTGTGATGGTGGATTGCCTGCTGGAGCAACAGACACCATCACCAACAGCACTGTCAGAATAGGCCCAACTTCGAAGCTAGAAAAACACTGATGTTTCTTGAGGGCAGAGAGGCCTTACAGAGCCATGCGGAAATACTAGAAAGCTGGACAACTGCCAATGATATGGAACGACTGAGTGCTGATTCTCCACCTGTGGTGGGGTAACCCTGCTTGTATGCATAAAGCAGGGAACAAAAGGATGGACGGCAGCCCTACAGAAAGAAATCTGGAGGTCTGGGTTGATGGAAAATTGACTATGGGTCAACAAAAAGCGTCAGCTGCATGCTGGGGTGCATTTACATTCAAGCACAGCATCATCAGCTGCTCAAGGAAGGTGATTGCCCTGCTCTGCAATGCACTGATGGGACCCCAGCCAGGTCCTGTGTGCAGTTTTGGGTGCCTCTGTATCAGAAGGACATCAAACAGTTAGAGCGCATCTGGGGGAGGCAGCCAAGACGGTGTAAGGTCTCAAGAGCAAGTGTAGTGTCTGAGGTTGCTTGGTTTGCTCAGCTTAGAGAAGGCTGAGGAGTGGCCCATGGCCCCTTCTTCACTGGAGGGACAGGGGAGGAGGAGATGTTGATCTCCAGTGACCAGTGACAGGGCATGAGAGGGAATGACACTGCATCAGGGTAAATTCACACTGTACATTATGGAAAGGTTCTTCACTAAGAGAGTGGCCAGCCACTGTAACTGGCTCCCCAGGAGTGTCACAGCTCCAAACCTGTCAGAGCTCAAGGAGTATCAGGAGAACACTCCTGATGCTATGTTTCAGTTTCAGGTGGTTGTGTGAGGAGCACAGAGTTGGACTCAATGGACCTTATGGATCATTTCCAACTTGAGACATTGCAAGACACTGAAATTACAGTGAACACAAATGTGAAGCAAAAACACTGCTATGAACAGAGCACTTCCTGGACTCATTATTATGCCTTCTCCTCTTCGAGTAAATGATAACAACATAATGCAGGGTTATAACCTTGACTCTAAAGAACACCCAAAGTATTACACGTGGGGCACTAGGCTCCACCCTCTGCACACTCACCCCAGCTGCACTACGAAGATAAACTGCACGAGATGGACCACTTTCAGAAGATCATAGGATTCAAACAGCCCCACGGCTTTCAAAACCTTGGCGAAGCAGAGCAGCACGATGTACCGAGTCAGCCTGTGGAAGGAGAGAGGCCGGTTCGCACCTGCCACGCCGCCGCCCGGGCCCGGCCCGGCCCCGACGCCTCAGCGAAGGCGGCCGGCTCCCCGCCGCCGGGAGAGCGGGGGGCGATGCCCGCTGCCCCCCTGAAGAAGGGACGGCGACGGGCCGCTCGCCGGAGCCAGCAGAGCGGCCGCTCCCCCCCGCCGCCGTTACCGGGCGCTGGGCACATCCACAGGCCCCAGCGCGCCGCCGCCGGCCAGGGCCTGCCCGCCGTACGGCTGCTCCATGGCGGGACGGAGGAAGGCAGCTCCAGCAGGGAACGGCTGCGAGCGCTCAGGAGGAGCTCAGGCGCGGCCCGCCTGCCCTGCAGCGGGAGCACCGCATCGCCCGCGGGCTGTGCGGCGAGGCGGGAACGGGGGGAACGGGACGAGAGCCGGGGACGGGGAACGGGAAATAGGTGAGGCAGAGCTCCCGCCAGCGCGCGTGCGCGGGAGCCGTGCGCAGGCGCCGTCGGGCGGGGCCGGGGCCGTGTGGGGAGCAGCTCCCTCCCCTCGGGGCGGGGCGCGGGGCGGTGATAGAGGATTTTTTTTTTCTTTTTTTTTAATGCAAATCGGTTTGTGTTATTATGGCGCAGAGCTCTGAGCTAGTATCAAGCATCAGGAGACAGTTTCCCTGTCAAACGCTTCAAATGCCCAGTTGAAAGAGATGGGAAAATTGAGGCGGAAGATGGGAAGTGTCCATGTTGTGAGCTAACTGCTCTCTTCAGCCGTGTCGCAAGCCCTCTCGGCTTTGGTTCCCAACACATGATTTTGGTACAGCACTGAGGCAGGAAAAAGAAGTCAAGAATGTACTGAATTAGCTCAGCAATAGTCAGCTGCATATTGAATTTCTTTGAAAAAGACTTGGATAGATTTTAACCAGGAAGGGATAGAGATATAGGAGAACAGCGGGATATCACTGCTGGCAAATTAAATTTTCAGAACTCACTGGTCAAAAATCAGAAGTTTTAAAAATTTATTTACAGATTTTCAAATTATTCCCAGTACACGTGATGACCTCAGCATGGCTAGCATAAGACTATTAAAATGCCGTCTCTCTGTTCCAGCTGTCTTGTGCGGACCCCTTCAAAGTTTAATCCACTGGTCTGGTCTCCTGTCAAATATACCCTCATTTAACAACTTGGAAACCCTGAAGCTCATGGATCCACCACACGATGTCGACAAGGTTTGTAAGCAGGGGAGGGGTGAAAAGAAGTGTAGCTCGGTGCAGAGTGCGCCGTGTCCGGGAGATGGAGGTGTTGGCCAGCCGCGCCCCGGAGAGGCCGCGAACGAGAGGCGGCGGCGCTGCACGGCCCGGGAGCCGCGCACGGAGAGCAGGGGCTGTGGAATCGTGCACAGGGTAAGAATCACCCTCTGGGTCACAAACATGAGGAGAAGAGGAGAGAAAAAGGCTAGTAAGGCACAGGGGAGCGCTTTCTGGGACCAAAATGGGGAAACACAAAAAGAAAGGTATGAGTTAAATGACAGCATTGCAAAGCCCGGAGGATGCGGATATGCATCCACAATGCTTTTTCAGGGTGGGTGTATGTGGCATACTGAGGCAGGCTGCTGCCCATCAGTGGCTCTCCTCCTCAGACAGGTGGTATTACAGTTGCCAGCCTGCCAGTTCACTTCGCTAGTCGCCACTGAGTGCCTTCCCAACATGTGTCTCAAGCATCTGTGCCAGGTGTCATCCTCTTGGGGGCTGGAGATCCCAGGCTGGAGGGGTGGCATGGCATCCCTGCCTAGGGTCTGCACCCCAGCAGGACCCCTGGCTCAAAGGAAACTCCTGGAAGGACATGTGTCCCGCCACTTAAGCGGTCCTGTCTCACCTGTATCTACATAAAACATACATAGGACATGAACTTAGACCAGGGTGTAATCTTGACATACTAGAAATCCACTCCTGGCTTGTCAGCCTGTTGCAATTGTACTTGATTTGGCCAAGAGGTGTCTTGGCGTCAGCATGTGAACTCTATTATGTGTGAAAACACATAATAACTTCACTAGTTTTGAAAATACACGTTACTAGGTCCTGCCAGGGCATATTCATACATTCTAGTGGAGCCCCACTGCACACACAGATGGTTACTATCCTGTTGCAAAGATGGGGTCAGGTACCTAAAAAAGAAAATTGCAGTATTAAAAACCACACGGTGAAACTGGTCTGGGTTGTTCAAGGGAATGGTGAAAATAATGACTACTAGTGAGAGCAAAGTTGGTGTCTACAGGAACAGATGACGGAGAGAGAAGCTGAAGTCCCAGAACGAATAGCCCTAAACCCCCAGACTTCACGACTGAAAAGGAAGATGTGCAGAGTATGGGGTTCTTGGATAGAATTTGAAAGGACTCTTATTTAAACCATGCAAAACATGCAGAAAAGGTCCGAAATCAAAACATAATGTATATGTATGTATCACAAAAGATCTGTTGTTTCATTTAGTTCTAAATGTGTATTAAGCTATGGTTTCTCTTTGCTTGAATGTTGTGTACTCCTGAAGACTTAAATTGTGAAATCAGAGTATTGAAAAGGTTAGAAATCTGTGGAAAAGAGTAGTTGAAGTGGTCCTAAGGGGTCTGTGTTTCTCCTCAGTGAGAATACGATGTGGTAAGAAGGAGAACACAGGTGTAACAAATGTCCCTGTGAAATGATAAACCTGGTTGTTACAGCAACCTAGTGAGACCAGAGAAAATTTGGAAGGAAAAGGCTCAGAGAAATTTGGGAGGATAAATTTTTGCATTTTCTCCACTAAATGAGATCTTGGAGCAAAAATCCAAGGAAGCAAAAACGTCCGCTTTTTAATCCATGTACTTCTTTTTGTTATTTCAGGATTACAGTTAACTATAGTAGATTTGGGGAAAAAAAATTCCTCCCTGTGAAAACAAAACTTGTGCTCAATGAAGAACTGCAGTCATTTCAAGTTTGGACTTTTGTTCTGTAAAGAAACATCAAGCATTTTTGCTTTGCACTGAAAGAAATGATGTCTTCATTTGCCGCCAAATGCAGGAACAGTTTTCTGGAGATTGTTCTGGACTTAAGTCTATGGAGAGGCACACTCAGGACAGTGGCAAATGTCCTGGTGAGGGAGCTCTGGTAGAGCAATGTATCCAATGGGCATTTATTTCAAGTTATGCTTTTATGAAGAGATTTGTTTGGGAAATATCTTAATTGCCTTGTGTTTATTGAGTAATGGTGACACAGATACCTGTTCCAGGAAAAACTCACTGGGATTAACTGAGTAATTGGAATGGCAGAAAATATCTTTTTGACTCGGGTTAGGAGGACAGTGACTTTGCTAAGACTTCTGCTCTTCCTCCTTTTGATGCTAATGCAAGCTGTGGTCCTTCATTTTTCAGCTAGCAGAGAACATCTAAGTAGAGAGTGGTATTATTGGGAAATGCACAATATCCATTGTTCCTGTCATCATGCTAAAGCAACACACATAATTTTGCAAGAAATTTCAGACAGTTGGTGTCTGAGGAAGTGAGGAAAGGAGACCAGCTATCTCTGAAATAACATTGTGACTTGGATTGCTGTGAATCTCCATCTCTTCTTGTGCTACTTCTATTGTATATATATCAATGCATCACTATGCAAACTAGTGAAATTACAGTGATAGAAGAGAAATAGAAGAGAAAGTAAAAAAAAATCCTTTGGTGTAGCAATTCAGCGAAAATGATGTAGCAAGAAAGCCTAATTGTGATTTTAAAGTGTCATTTTTCTGTAATAAAGCTCCAATATTAACTATGTAGCAGGCATGAAAAAGGAAAAAGTGGCTGATAGAAAATCAGAAGTGCCTGAAAATCAGCATCACTTTAGAGACTTTTGTGATTTCCTGTAATGTGACATAAACCACCTATTGTATTTTTGCTGGGAAACTTGTAGCTGAGGTCAATATAGCAGAAAATAAAACTTGAGGGTTTCTGTGCTAGAATGAGGGTTGTGTTCTTTATCAAACCATTCACAGAGGACGGTGCCTGTTCAAATTTACATAAAGCATGCTAAAATGTATGTTAGGCTGTGTTCCATCATGTTTGCTGCTCCCTGTCAGTAGGAAGAAGCAAAATGTTTAATTTTGCATCATCAGAATGCTTGAATTTCGATACAAACAGACTTTTTTACTTGGACTCATTAACAGAACTTACTACTGTGGCAGTAGTTTTCCTTCTTCTCCCTGTGCTTGCTGCAGCCTGGCACTATCTTCCTGATGTGGTTCAGGCTCTGCCGTGCTTGGCACTGACAGAGCCCCTGCTGGGGATCTGGCTGGTTCCAGCACTACTTCTTCTAGCCCTGTGCCCTGGTCTGTCACCCTGCTGAGACCTAGTCTTCAGTCTGGCCTGGATTGTCCCCACAAAAATCAAGAGCCCCCAGAGATCAGTTCTGCCTTCTGTGTTCTGCCCTTCAGGGTTTGTCCCTTTGATAGTGGTGGTGCATGCAGAGAGCTGAGCATCTACCCAGGTCATGTGTGTGGTTTGATAAATGTTTAGTAAAAGGAATCCATACAGCAAGGGCCAGGGAACTGATGTGGTTTCATAGGGATCTCACTTGTTGACTGGACCGCAGTCATAGGCCAGTGATTTAACATGGTCAATTCCTCATTCATATAAGTTTATTTAATAATAAATCTGAAATAAATACTTGAAATTGTCTTAGATAATTTTTTGCAACTTTCCATTCAGAATTAATTAGATGCTATGAGTTGAGCAACTGAATCATTAGAAATGATTCACTGCTTTCCTTTCTAAGGATGTGAATTAGCACATGTTCTGTTTGCTGATGGAGTGCATTCTGCTTTAGGAAACCCATGGAGTATGGCTAGTGTGAGTGCAGACAATTACATGGTGCTAACTTTCTGTCTAAATTTAGAAGCTTCAGTTAGCTCTGATCTTATATTGTCTTCCCAGTGCTAGACCTGAGTGATAAGAAACTTGTGTTGCTGAAAAGGTGAATGACATAAATGTCCTTTAATAGCATTTTGACTCAAATTTTACCCTTTTCCCAGCATGACTGAAAGCATCAATTATGGGTTCTCAATCATGTGAACATTAGCAATAAAGTGTTGTCTTCCCAAGTCTCCATGATGATGCAATGATATTAATGGTTATTTTATGCCAGCTCACTTATGTTTTCTAAAAATTGTATAAAATTGAAGAGAGCTGGCAATGCGGGCAGGAGAGATGATGGAGATGTGGTGAGTTCATGGCAGTAGAAGTCTGAAACCCGTGACTTGCTTCACCATCCTCTTGGCTTCCCTCAGAAACTACCAGGGCTTAAAAAAGGCCTTGGGCATTTGTTACAGAAATATATAATAAAATATGCTTTCAAGCCCCTGTATTTGGACTATGTACTTGTTGACTGTGCCTCACTGTATGTGGCTTTGTTCTGGTATTAGCCACGTGTGGCCCACGAGTAACTGCTTGGACCTCCA